AAACGCGATTTTCTTGAAATCCTCTGGGATTGGTAAGAAAGCCCATCTTAAATGCGTATAAAGTGCCTTAGAAGATCCTTAGAGATTATAGATTGCATGCATTTAATACAATACAACATTCTAACAATCTAGTAAAATTTATAAGAAATGCACGATGGATACCAGTAAACATTATTCAATTAAATAAATATACACAATACGAAAAATATTGCTAAGTTCATAATTTATAAAATTTATAGTATAAGTAATAATTTCAGAAATTTTATCGTAATTACAAATTAAATTTAGTACCTTTTGATAAACATATAAACATTTTTAAGTTTAAAAATTTAACGCTTGGCAAGCAAACATAAAAATACATTTTTTAATGAACTTACACGATTTACAAAACAACAAAAATAAAACTCTCGATATTTAGTTTTTTAGTTATTATTTCATTTGACAGATTTTATGAAACTAAAAAATTATTAACCTGATTGGCTGAAATTTCACTCCTAGGCGATATGTATAAACGTACTCTATATCAAAACTTGATGTGTCAGTATAAAAGATTAAAGTAAAAAAAAAAACTGTAGCATATACACAGATATCCCATTATATGTATTTCCATTATTCAATGTCCTCTTTTATAAAATAAAGTACTCGTCATTATTAAACGTGGAAAATTACAATGGATAGGTACAAGTATAACGTTATTATTCCACTCTATTCACGATATACAGAATGGAACAAATATAACTGACAACTTTTATAACTTTTAATAAAATTAATATTTTGTTGTAATTGTATTTTTATTAACTTTTGTATTTTTAGACTACGTTAAAAACATATTTTTCATTTTTTTTTAATGATAAAAATTTTTTTCAAAATAGACAAATTTCATCTTTTTTCTTGCACAAATGGATATTGGGTCGTTTATTTTTTAGAGTTACGTGCATTTTAATATATAGTAGGTATGCACACACACTATATAATAAAATGCTTAAAACTCAATAATGATTTGTCCTAAAATTGTTATTGACCCATTCAACATTTTTTTTTAAAGCTTTAAAAACGGTTATGTCAAAAATAAATTATTATATTTATTTTCTTATTAAAAATGAATAAAAAATATACTTTTAACGCAGTTTAAAAATTCAAAGGTTGTTAAAAATAAAAATTACAGCAAGATATTGAATCGAAAATTGTCAGTTACATATGTTTCACTTTGTATAATGGTAAACTTTATATAAATGATCGACTAATTGTAATATAAAATAGTGCATCCGTTTGGATCAAAAAATCATTAAAATATAAATTAAATAAAAACACTAATCAAAAGAGATTATTCTTTTAACTATCTCTTATTACATAAAGGCAAAAAATATATGATCAAGTGTTTTAAGAATTATTTCTTATATCATATATTCTACTTCCATAATATTCTATTTATTTAATATCAATATAAGCATCATAGTAATATGATAAAAAGTAAATAGTATCGCTAGCATTTAATTTAATTTATAAAACTTATTTATGAAAAAATGTTTGCAAGTACTAAATACATTCTTAAATTAACAAACTTTGAGATATAATATCAAATGTTCTATTTTTTAGCAATACAAATTAAAGCAAAAGTTTTCAGTAGATTTTTTGGGTTTAAAATGTTTAAGCTTTAAATATTATCTGTTGTTAAATAACTATTCAAAAACTTTAACAAATTAATGCTGCAAATGAAAGCTAACGACCCCTCATCACTATCGTATGTTGCCATTTAAACAAATGAAATTGATATCTTTTAAGATATAAGAAATAAATTTAAAAAATAATTTATAATTTTTAAATCAAGAAATATATGAAACTAAACAAATTTTTCTTAATATAATTATTATTTAGAGAAAAACCAAGTGGCTAATTTCTAAAGAATTACTTTGTATATGTATGTATATACATAAATAATAAAAAAACTTAGACACAATAAAACATATAACGTTAAAACTAACTCATTTTCTTAGTTTCACGTCCAAGTAAAAAAGTGGACTTGTGACAGATTACTTTAGGATTAAGAAATGTTAAAAAGTACTGTTTAATTTATCTAAGTCTGTTTTTAGTGTACATAAAAGACCCTTAATTCTATCAAATTCAAGAATTTATTTTTTGTTATTAGTTTATAAGTAACTATGTAAGTACTGATAAATTAAATGCTTACCCAAATAACTTTCAAATAATTTAACATCAAATTTCAAGAGTATCATAGTTTATCAATACAAATATATGATGCCATTAAATTGAATTAGAATATTAAGAAAAATTTTCTTAATATTCACTCTATATAAATATAATTAAATGAGTATAAATATAATTGATGAATGCTAATTATTAGTTAGTATATTTTAACCGTCACGCGTTGCTGCGACAATAAGCAAATTTCGTGAAAATGTATCTAACAGCTTCCTAGAGTTTCGTGATAATTGAATAAATAACGTAGTAATACATAAAAAACTGAAAGACATACATTCGTTTTTATATAAAGATAAGTTTTTTGTCATCATTTACCTATAAAATTTTTCAGAAGTGTTAATTTTTAATCAAATAGTTTATTTCAAGCCAGAAGCAATATCTCAACCTTAGAAATCATTTATGCATTTTGTAAGTAGTCTAAGGTTTTGTAATAATTTAAAACACATTTTTTGATAACGCCAATTAAGGTTCGTTACAACAAAAGAAACCCGGAAATGAGAAAAACAATAACATAGTATCTCACATAGCAAAAACAGCTGCAATGGTATATTTAAATTTTATTTACAAGCAAATGACTCATAAAGAGAGGTAGCGGTGGGCGCCAATTAATTTAAGGTTGCCTATCAGATGGACTCACGCAATCATCATAAATCGCGTCCGTAATGCTGCCATCTTCCTAGTGAAATTGTTCCGGCCGTGTAATATAATTAATACAAAGGACTTGGTCGTTTCCCGGGGAAAAGATAGATAAGCGGAACCTTTAGCTTATACAGCAGGAATTAATTTTTACCCACCAGTAAAAGCAATCAAAAGTACAAGGGCTCCGATCGCACGACAATAACAGATTTGGAATACTCGTATGATATGGCTTCAACCCAATTGACTAAACATTTGCTTTCCATATTGAATTTATTTAACACTTTGAGTAAACTCATTCAAATTTTTAAATCAATTTTTTTTGAGAAAATTTATTTGGGATTTGTTTGAACCCGAACTTGTGACAATCGAAAATTAAAAATACATTTAGTAAAGTAAAATTTTGCAACTATATATCCGGTAAATTAAAAAAAAATTGTAATTTTGAAACGAATGTTTTCCGAAAATAATGCGTTTACGTATTATTCGATAATTAATAATTTGTCAACAAAGAAACTGAAAATTAATGAGTTCGATCTTTTTGAAAATATAATAGGTATTACATACACTAACGAATCAGTTAAATGAAAATATTTAGCTCTTATAGATAAAACTTGTAAGTGTAAACCAGAGGCAGTTTTAGCCTTCTTATACTGACGTAGCGCCCCAAAAAGTAACATTTTATCCAGGTATGTAATATGTTTATTTCTAGTTACTAAAAATTCAATTCAAATTTATGACAATAATAAACTATAAAAATGGTTATGCATTGAGTGTAAAGTATTGAAATTATAATTTTCTTTTAAAACTTAAGGAAATAATTTAAGGACACAATAAAAAAATTTTTTTTTATAATTTAATATTAAATATTATTTAATTAATCATTTTGACCATCGTCAAAGAGCTGTATTATACAATTAATAACAATTTTAAGAAAATAAAGTCAGATATTTTAAATAAAAAGTATTTTTGATATTTAAAACAAAAACGGTTTTACTGTTGAGCTTTCTAGAAAATCTTTATATTCCGTCTGAGTTAGAGAATATGCCATTCTCATAAGTCTCCGATTAATTCTAAAATTTATATATTAGATGTAAATTGACTTATGAATATAGAAATAAAATTTTAATAAATATTATTCATCAAAATTTAGAGACTGACCATCTTTGCAAAGAAAAACCACTTGGTCGAGGAATTTGACATTCTACAAAATATGTAGCTATTTACTGATTTATTCTCTCTAGTTATGTTCATACTGTTTTATATCAAAAGTAAAATGTTGCTAAATTAAAGTGTTACTAAAATGATTTGTGATTAAAATCAAATAACCTTTTAAGGAATTTGATAAGGTGACATTTTTTTGTCTATGACTCTCTAGAAATATAATATCCAACTTAATTAAATTATCACCCAAAATGATTAATATGAACAGAGTTCATGTAAAAGGAGAAATTACTTTTGTAGATTAAATACGTCATCAATAAGAACAAATGCTTTTACAAAAATTAATTTGTTAATTGCTTGAGATCCAATGGTCAAACGAATATGATACAGTTACTAACTTTTCTGGCGTGAAATATTAATATATAAATTGTAAATATCCAAAATTGCATTGTCCTTGTTTATATGAACTCGCCTAGATTGTTAGTTATTAAATATTCTCTTGTTAAAATACTATAGATTGTATTTGCAGAAAAATAATAACTATTTTATCATACTAGAGATTCATTTTAAATGTGCACAGTTGTTATTCACAAAAAAAATTAAACAAGTCTTATGAAATAACAGCAAACGTTACAGTCTCCTTTCCTACTTATAATAACGGAGCATTTTGGAACTATGTAATTCTATTCAATATCACTGTTAGTAGAAAAAAATTATTATCTAGTTATAACGCGGTTATGCATTTGTCAGTCAACACATACCCAAAAAAACTTTTTACTCATAAGTAGTGACTCAATACAGCTGATGAACGATGACTAATAACAATAGGGAATGGGTGTGTTTACAAGTTATCATTTATCATTCATCATTATAGTACTATTTATTATCCAATAATAGCCCAATAAAAATAATATTTAATTTTCAATTGATAAAAACAAAATGAGATCTAAACAATTCTTCTTTTATCTATTTATTCAAAAATAAGTCACTGTTTACTCCACTATTTTTCAAAAGATAACCCACTGGAATTTCACGTTTTGCGAATGAAATGAAATATTCTGATAAATTAAGTGTTTATTAATGACGCAAAATTGATAAGGATTTGATAAAATACTTTGTTTTCTGATTAAGTCATGATATTCATTGTTTTTGAATAAGAATTTTGATCGTATATTTTCATTATTATAGTTTGTTGTTAGAATAATTTCTTTATTGTAATTGTATCAATTTAATATTTTCATTTCAAATTTTGAAAAACTTTAGTTATCCCCTTTTATTTTAATCACTAAATTTTTCTTAGAAGACTATATAAGTGAATAATTAAGTGTATCAATAATGGTGGACCGATTAGGTAAGTTTAATTCTACGAATAATTTATATTTTTTGGTGTTTTTAATGTTGTATTTTAGTAAATAGCGAAGCAAATGCTCGGCGTATTACAATGGTTGAAAGTTGTTTTGGAAGTTCAGGCGAGGTAAGTTATTTATTTTGTGTAATTAATTTAGAAAAATTGCATGTAAATCAAATGATATTGATGCAATATTATTGATTTTTTCTTATAGCCATTGGCTGTACCAGGGAGAGTTTTAGTAGGTGAAGGAGTTCTGACTAAAATTTGTCGTAAGAAGCCTAAGCCTAGGCAATTTTTCTTATTCAATGATATTTTAGTTTATGGAAATATTTTAATAAATAAAAAGAAAGTAAGGTAAACCTAATTAAGAAAATGTAATACATTTTAACAATTATTTGTTCTTAGTATAATAAACAACATGTCATTCCATTGGAAGAAGTCAAATTAGAATCATTACAAGATGAAGGCCGTAAGTTTAATATTTATAGCATATTATAATATTAGGTTACTTTCATTTTTTTACAAAATTATTTCTAGAATTGCGAAATGGATGGTTAATTCGTACAGCATCAAAGTCATTTGCTGTATATGCAGCTACTTCAACAGAAAAACAAGAATGGATGGCTCATATAAATAAATGTATAGAAGATTTGCTAAGAAAAAGTGGTAAAAAAGCTGTTGAAGTTCATGCTGCTGTATGGGTACCAGATTCTGAAGCTAATGTCTGTATGCACTGCAAAAAGACCCAATTTACTGTACTCAATCGAAGAGTAAATTATTATTTATTTATAACTTTAACTTGTCTTTAACATCATTAAATAAATTTCATTTTATAGCATCATTGTCGTAACTGTGGAACAGTTGTATGCGGTCCATGTTCTAGTAAACGTTTTTTGTTACCGAATCAATCATCCAAACCACTGCGTGTGTGCCTAAATTGTTTTGATAAACTTTCTAGAGATAAAGCTCAACAAAATAGTACCAATTTAAATTATCACAAAAATTGTAAGCATAATTTTTATTAAAATTTGAGTTTTTTTTGCAATCAAGCGCAATTAGACATTAACTAGTGAAAACTAAAATATATAATTAATAGTCCTTCCAAAATTTCAGAAAAACTAAATACATAATCACCAATTTATGGTGATTATGTATATAGTTTATGGTTTAAGCTTTCTAAATATTCAATGGTTATATCATAATTAAGTAATAATACTGAGTTTTATTTTTTGTATGAATAAAGCACTAAAAGATCGTAGTGAGTCATCAGGAGAAGACGAATCTGATGATGATGATAGTTTTGTTGCATCAACTACTACTCCTGATCAGGTATATTATTTTATTTATTTATTAATATTGTCATATTTTAATAAAAAAATTTTTTTCAGCCCAAGTTCTATTGATTGTAAAAATATTGAGTATTGTATAAGTTTTACAAATACATGGAATCTATTATTTGCTAACTAACTTTGTGATTTTGATACCATCCAATTTTATTAAAAATAATCTTCCAACTTATTGTTTGTATATTAAAATAATTATAAATTTCTACACAATTTTTATTTTAATAGTACTATGTTTCAATGGAAATAATTTAATGTGATTGATTGATATTTAAATCCGAATTATATATTTGTGATATCTTGTTACAAATATTGTTTAGTAGTTATCTTTTATCAATAATATATTTTTATTTAATCTATTTTATTATAAGTAATAGCATGCTATAATTATTAGTCAACATATATTTTATTATACTAAAAGTATAAATGTCTAATTGTTTAGTATATTAAAATCTAACAAGTCAAATAATATTCTGATCTTTAGCTTGTAAGTGATTCATATGTCAGTTACTATTTTTGGAACGAATTTATTTTATAAATAATTATTCCTACATTTAACTACTTTTTGTACATTTAATTTGACTATATTTATTATTCTAGCTATATTAAAAACCACTCTGTATAAAAATTATAAGTCTAAATTTAAATTCGTTTCATTATATGAATTCATTATAATAAAAAAATATTAATAATTTTTATTACACATAAGTTATACATTTTAGAGTCAAATGTGACTAACATTAAATATTTAAAACATTAATTTAAATATAGTTGCTGTTACATCTTTGTTTATATGTTGGAATTTCTTATTATGAAGTAACATGTTAATTAGCTGTGAATGTTGTAAATCTGTTAATGGTACATTAATTTCTAATGAGTGTTTCATTATTTCTGTACACTGTTTTACATTATGCTTCACATCTGAAAAAAATTATTATAAACTAGATATACAAAAAATTACACTATGGTTACATATACAAGATTATTCTTAATATAAGCTGTTCAATTTCTCCTAATATAATGAAAATATTGAGAATTTTGTTTCTGATATTTTTGATTTATTAATCATCAAACTTTTTAAGTCTATCCCCTATTCTTTATAGGGTGAAAACTTAACTTTTTAAAATGACAATTTACATTTATTAGTAGCTTATATAATGGAAAATAATCTAATTGAGAATATTACTGGTGACAATTTTTGACCTATTATTCAGAAGTTATTAAGAATCTTAAATATAGACTAGGGTGAAGACATAAGTATGATTATTTTTATTACTATATATTATTCCATCGCCTTTTTCCTTACAACTAGGTATAAATGCGTTAATAACTTCCTAAGTACTCAACCAAAAGTTGTAGATCAGTCATTTTCTTAATGAGAATATTTTACATCGTAGAGTATGTTGCTATTGTATAAAGTTAACTCTTATAGGAAATAAGGGATGAAGTTAAAAAATGATTAATGATTGATGAATCAAAATATATATAAAAGCAAAAATAAACTTAATATTTTTATCATTATATGAGATATTGAATGGCTAAAATTAAAAGAATCATCTTGTATAAGTATTTTGTATTATTTTGCATTTAATTATTTAAATAGTATATTTTATAATTTACAGATAAAAACTAAGTTAATGTTTAAAAAATGTTTTATAATTTTTTTTTAAATATTACAGTAAATGTATTGTAAAACATTTCTAATAACATTAAATTTACATTGAACTAATAAAAATTTGAAAATTACAATTTATTTACTGATAAATTAATTTACCTATTTGATTAATTAAGAGTATCAAAAATTAATTCTTGTAAAAATAATAGTGACATTTAACACAAAATCAAAATTGCATAGAAATTTATCATTACATTATTAACTAGGTATTAGTTCAATATATTTTTTAATTTACTGTGTACAAAATAATATTTCATTTATGAAGTAAAAATTTTAATTTCTTTATTATGAAATTATATTATTGTTAAATTTTATTTTTTTACTTAAAACTATACAACTAGTAATATTATAAAATAATAAATTTTATTCTTAAGTAAAAATACTTAATAAATCTTTAAACAAAAAACTTACAATAATAATCAAATAAATTTCTTAGGATCCATTGATATGATTTTGTTTGATTATGTTTTAACATAAGAGTCATTAATTGGTAAATATGATCTATTTTATCAATCCTTAGTAGATCCCTGGTAATTATTGGTACTACATATTGAATGCTATCTATTAATTTGCTGTTCTTTTTTAGTAATTTCTCAGCTTCTAAATTATCATCAAATAATTCACTCATAAAAAAGTTCTTCCATAAGACACACATGGGATAGAAATCTCCATATTTATGTGCTATAGAAAAAACAAATTTACTAATCAAAACTACAGATGCTCCTCCTTTTGATTTTACTATACAATATACTATAGGATCTAAAATACAAGTAATTTTGAATGAATGAGTAGGATAAAACCATTCGAATACTTCTAACATTTTTAAAATATCACCATTAACCCAATATGCTTCAGCATAATGAATTCTTAAATTACTCTCTTCAATTGAATAATTATACATATTATACAATTTTTCAATTGTAATCAAACCATTTATACATCCATATTTTGAAAATATTATTAAATATTTCCTTAAAGTTCTTTCTTCTACCTTGACATTATTTTCTAAACATTTTTTCAAGTATATAACTAAATTATTAGTTTGATTAGAACTTTCTGATAGAATATCAGCTTTTATTTCAGTTTTACATTTATTGAATAATGTACTTGTTTTCCATTTATTTGTTTTCTCTTGAATGAGAACATTAGTAAAAGCATCAAATGCATCAACATGATAATTTTTTGTAGGTTTGTTCAAAGTTCCTTTTTTTGGTTCTGCTGTAGTTGAATTAGAAGCAATTAATTTAATTATTGCACCACCTATTGTTTTATGTTTTTGGTAATTATTTCCAATTCTTTTAGCACAAACAATAGACATTTAAACAAATTAACAATCTTTAAATTAAATAAAATAAAATACATTTACAAAAATGAAAATATAGTCGATATACTTATGTCTTAATTAGAAACGCATTAAATGAACCAGTGTACAACAATACTCAACCCAGTTTATTAAAATAAAGTTTCAAAATATAGTATTCTTACAGAAAGGTAATATTTATATAATCCTAATATATTCGTCTCATTTATTTAAATCAGTTACTTTTATAACTACAAATGTAACACTACAACAATATCAAATAGTAGAAAATTAGACTAGAAACATATTATTTGTTATCATCTTAAAAATAAACATTTGATAAGAATTGCAAACTGATTAAATTCATGAACCGATTTATTTTGAATTTTGAAGTTTTTATTTTTTATTTTAAATGATTACAATTTTCACTATTGCTTATTATTACTATTCTTTATTAACCATTATAATCTTATTAGATATTGGAAAATAAGTTAATTCAATTATAGGTTTTTTTTTTTAAACATTGAATTTTTGAATTTATTAATTCAGTTACAAATATACCTCTGGATTGTTATTAAAAGAAAAATTAAAATGGATTTTGAAATTAAACGAAATATAGAATCACGTAACAATATCCTGGTAGCTTCAGTTAGTATTACATAGTAAATACATTTTAACCCTCATAAAAGAGTAATTATGTAGTAACTGCATCAGTTATTGACAGTTCTGCAGTCTGACAACTTTTAAATTTGACATGTCATCAAATATTTTTTGATGATCTGAAAAATAAACTAGAGTTTCTTTAAAAATTCCTAGATTAGGATGAAGTGGTGTAGCTGTAAATGCATTTTTTAGATAAATGCAAAATTTATTATTTTTAACTTACATTTAATATGATAGCAATACATAAAAGGATACTATTCCATCTAATAAAAGAATATGCTAAATATTCTAAAAGAAAAAATTAATTTATAATTATTCCATTTGTTTACATTTACCCCACTTTACCCTATTTATAACGAGAGAGAGATTTTTTATGTATGTATAATGATCCAAACATGACTGCCAAAAACTGGTACTGTTATCCTAACTTATGCTAGCTAATGAGTGACTTAAAATAACTAATAATATCTGCAGGCATGTATATATCCAGTTACAATAAACTCTTAGTTGAGTCATTAGCTCCATGATTTAAAATTTAATTTTTACATTTTTGAATAATGATTACTGAAAAAAAATGTTATTTACTTTAGGCCATTTCTAAACTGATAAATGTGATCAAGATGAAGGTTAAAGGAAATAGAACTGATATGATCAATGTAATGTATTAAATAATTTGTTAAATAATACTAAAGTAGTTTTCTTAGGAAAGTGTGAATTTTTAGCTTTGACATATCTGTATAGTTAATTTTTATATTAGTTTATTTAAAAGATAATTGAAATAAAATCTTATGTATTAACATAGGTTTAAAATATTTATTTTTAATGTAAATGTCTGTTTTGTCTATACAACACATCAAATATAATTACTGTGTGGTATGGCATAAACTATAAATATTATGAAAAATAATTAATAAAAACATGTTTTATAAACACTTAATTATTTTTATAAATTTACTAAATATAGATAAATTATTATATAGATTCCAGAGATGCTTCAACTTCAAGAATATTGTTGCCATCAAAATCCAATCATTAGTAAAACAGCTCTTAAAGCTTTGTGTGATTTTATTTCAACTAGTGATTACCCTCCTCAGTTATTAGTGGATTGGTTAGCAGTTTTGTCATCAAGGACTAAATGCAAAACAGTATTTATTCAAGAGATTTTTGAGTTAATAAATCTTTGGCTGAAAAACGCCCAAAATTATGATATAATTATAGACACATTAGTTGATATTTTGATAGAAATAATGGATGCCAATTTAAATGAATGGAGTGTTGTTCAATTTCATTTATGGACAACTTTAAATTTGTGTGATTTAAGGTAAATATTTCTGTACTTGAGGTTTATAAGGGCCAAGCTACAATAATAAAAAAAAAATTATATTTCTATTTTCAAATAACTTTTGTATAAAAAATAAATATGTTTTTAATATTATCTGAGTTACTTTTTAAAGTAACCTCATTCTAATAAAGAAAACTTATATCATGTTACAATTATTTGTACATTTTTCTTCTAATCTAAAAAAAGAATTAACATTAAAAATAAGTCAATTCATATATACAGGGTGATTCATAAGGATAAGACACTCATTTTCTCGGTAACTATTGAAAATTTTAAATTTTTGATATGGAAAATATTGATTAATAAGTTAATGGACAAAATCATATATTACTGTTATAGCAGTAATATTAAAATTTGACTATTCTAAAAATATTCTAAACTATTTTAAAAATGTCATTACTGATATTGCAGTAATATTTTCAATGATTTCTTATGAAGGAGTAAGTTGTTCTGACACCATGCATCTCATAAAACCAGTGTTTATAAAATACGATGTCATTAACTGTCCATCAACGTGTTAATTCAAAAATCTCTACAATAATATGTAGTCAAGACATCATTTTTTTCATGCCTTCAAGTTTAAAAAACATGAACTTGAATTTTCTAAAATGGGAACTCCTATTTTGAATTTGTTATTAAGATTTAAAATAAAAATACAAACAACTTTGGTCTTATAATTTTTTTTTACCGATCAACCGTTCGTCTGTTACAGCTTGTTAAAGTTAAATAATTTTGGACTAAATTTCTATTATTATTTTATATATTAGTGACTCTTAAAATAATCGAATACTATGATAAAGTAATCTTTATTTTTGTTGACGGATATGTGTTAAAAGTTGTGGCATAACCTCATAAACTGAATTAAGTTAAATTAGTTTATGTTACACCATAGAAAATGAGTGACTCCTGTATTCAAAACAGTAAAATAATGATAGAAATTTAGTCCAAAATCATTTAACTTTAACAATCTGTTACAGACGAACGGTTGATTAGAAAAAAAAATTATAAGAGCAAAGTTGTTTGTATTTTTATTTTAAATCATAATAACAAATTCAAAATAGGAGTTCCCATTTAAGAAAATTCAAGTTAATGTTTTTTAAACTTGAAGGCATGAAAAAAAATATGTCTTCACTACATATTATTGTAGAGTTTTTTGAATTAAACAATATTTTCTTTACCAAAAATTAAAAATTTTCAATAGTTACCAAGAAAATGAGTGTCTTATCCTTAATGAATCATTCTGTATACCAAAAAAAAATTGTTTTTTTATACTGTTCTATTTTTATTATTCGAGAATGAAATGGTGTAGGCGAGTTAGTAACACAACGTTGCCTGATTCACACTATCACACTGTAATTACCCATCTCGTAGTGTATTAGGTTATAAAATGTCCTCTTTATAGATTAAAATATTGTGATATTTTCTTAGGCAAATTTTTAATGTAAATACCATTTACTTTTTTTAAACTTTAATTTACTATTTATTATTAAAATAGTTTAATACTAGTATTAATAGCTTTTAAATCTTTAGTGTTAACAGTATTGCTAAAAAGTGGTTAAATGCAACTAAGCGATTATTCAAATTTATATTTGTATCAAGTGCTCCAGTTAGTTATCGAAGTGAATTTATAAAAATATTTATTAAATTATTAAGTTATACATCTGAATATGATCTAGTATTTGACATTTATTCATGTGTGAAAGTAATAAATAATCATACAATTCATAGTATAATTTTTTAATTTTTTTTTTTACTTTTCAGATGAATAGTATAGACAATATTTTATTTTTAATAAAACTTTTAGATGATATCACTTGCATAATTCCTCTTGAATTTCATGAAACTCAATACAATTTATGTTTGTGTTGGAATGAAGTTATGGTTGCATTGATACAGAATGGTTATGAACCGTCTTTAATACTAATAAAACTTGAAACCATTTTAAAAAATTGTCCTTATACAGTTGAATACTGTTTATTGACCCTTGCAAGAATTTTAAATTTGTGCGGACAAAGTTATTTACATCAAATAGTTAACTTTGGTAATGATGAATTTTAAAAAATACTCTATTTTTATTCAGTAATATTAGCACTTTATTTACCCATATAAAATGAAATAATTATGTAACACCTATACAATTTCACATTAATTTTGTAGCAAGTATTAGATATTAATTGAGGCATTGATATGAGAAAAGTACTAAGTCATAAAAAACAAATTTTATAAAAAAAAACAATTTTAGGATTGTGTATACTAACAATAAGGCCATCTTGATATCAGTATAATAGTAGCATAATTAGGGTTTTGTTTTGGGGGATATAAATAAGAAAATTTTTGATTACACCCTTAAAGTAAAAAAAATTGTTTCTTTACAATATAAACAATTTAATGTTAAAATCTATCCCACTAGATACCTTTATTATGCCCCTACAATATAATTCATAATTTGAGTATATATAGTTCATATTCAAATTTGATTTAGTTTTATATTAAGATATTGGCATAATATACCAATAACCTATTAAAAAACATAATATGTATTTATTATAGTAAAACTTAGATTAGCAGTGGTAAACAAATTATTTTTAAATGATTCTCCTATTTAAATCAAAGATTTTATCATGAAAAACAGTGCAATAACTCTTTACAAAGTACTGGTAAAATCAGTAGCCTTGTATGTGTGTAAAGCGTGAGCTACTACAAAGTCTGATAATCTTAAAATGGCAACCTTTGAATGAAAGATATTAAGAAGAATCAATAGACCAAAAAATAACAATAAAGAAGAATATGAGATAAAAACAAACAAGGAGATTCAAGATATATACAGAGAGCTAACATCAACGGAGTCCTAATACAGTATTAGATTAAGTTGTGCCAGACACGATTGAAGATTGGAGAGATCATTTAGACAGGTTACAAGATGGATATTAAACACAAAAATACCTATAAGATGTCCTAGACAAAGATGGAAGAATTGAATGACTAAAAACCAAAAACAACTTGGGTTAGAAAATGATGAAGAACAGAGAGGCTAGTGGTTGTTGCGGCAATGGACCTAAATAGTCTGTAAAACACCCTGCAGAAGATTATTGAATTTTTTACAAAGATACAAATTTTGATTTTTCGGACTTTTGTACTTTTTCTGTGTTAAGTCTTAATCGGCTAAATTATTATTTTATTTTAGTTTTCTATGTAAGTATATAAATATTTAAAAATTACTATTCTTAAAAAAAAAAAATGTTTTTAAATAGTAGTTATGTCCTAAATTTAGGGTATATTTCCCCAAACATTAAATAAAAATGAGTTTTAATATAATAATAAAAATTTTGGGTGGGAAAAATTACATTTAGACTTGTCAATAAATTTTATTAACTTATACTACGAGTAATGTACTGAGGTATCAATATCTAAAATTAAAAAGCTTATAAAATATAAATAACCTAAAAGTAAATTCAATATTTTGCTTATAGTTGCATGTTTAATTATATTGTTATATAATTATTTTTACTTAACATTATATAAGTAACATAGTTATAACTTATTTTAGGAGTGAAAATAATCTTAGACTATGGTTGCCATAAAATTATTTCTCAGGCGTTTATAGCAAGTATTCTTCAATGGAATCAGTATAAAAAGTTTTCAATAGACTACAGTGATTCAGTGATATTGAGTATTAATTCTTCTTTTGCTAACAAGTCAAAAACATATCAAACTCATCATAGATCTTTAATACCACATTTGACAGCTGATACTCATATTATTATTACTCATAATTTAGTGAAGTAAATTTTAAAGTAATTATTAAATAAAAATGATTTAATTTTATTCCTTTTTTATTTTTATAGGTTGTGTTCAAATTTTGGTGATTCCTTATTTATTTCAAATTGGTTAGCAAAAATCCAAAAGTCTAAAATTTTATTAGAAAATTCATTATTTAGTCTTTTTTTGGCTGGCGTGTATTTATCTAAGCTATGTAATAGCACTCAACATAATACCTTATTAAATATATTAAATAAAAAATACTTGTTGCCATTAATTACTTATGCTATTGATAGAGAAACAAATTGTCATAATCGTCTAGATCTAATAAATGTAATTCCATTTACAGCTTGTTTTCAGGTTTGTTTAAAAAAAATTCTTACATATTAAAATTTATTTACACATTATTTTTGTTATTTTATATTATTATATTAGTTAGTGTACTTTAATGAAAAATTAAATAACTATCTTAGTATGTTTATTCATGTGCTTTATATTAGTCTAATTCAAATTAATTAACTATTTGTGTTTATTGTTTATAAACAGCTGAAAGGTTTGCTGCATTAACAAGATTATTTTATTTTATTTTTAGAAGTTTACTTATTAATAAAATTTTATGCAAAAGAAACAACTTTAAAATCAGAATAACAGTTATATAGAGGTGTATTTATGGAAAAGACTATTGGTACACTTAAACTAGTTTTATCAATATTTTTTAAAGCTGATATTTACAAAATATGGTTATAAAAACTTTTTATTATCACTTTGTTTTTTAGAAAAAGAATTTTCCCTAACTCGCTTAATAAGAAAAAAATTTAATTAAAAAAAACATCTAAAATATGTTCTAAATATGCTTCTGCCGATATATCCAATAATTTGTTATAGAATTATAATAAATAGAGTAAGTTTTGATTTTAATACATTTACATATAAAAATTTTTCCTTGGAAATTTTTAAATGTGAAGTTATCTAGTTGTTGCAGCATGTCCTTCAATTACTTATTTTTATTTAGTGAAAAATTATTTATATTAAATCAAATAAATAAATTTACTCTTAAAATTTTTATATGGAACAACTCCATGAGTGAAAATAATAATGCCATATAATGGTAATTTTTAATTTGAATTTTATATTCCTAACAGTTACGTTTAAACTTAATATTTAAGTTAAACTAGTTTTATACTTTGCATTAATAATTTGATTCTTTTAATAAACATAAAAAATAATAGTCATTTTAATTTATCAATATGATTTGTTTCTTTACTATTATATCCATCAACAATTTTTTTGTGCTTAAATTTAGGTAATATTTAATTTAGATAATGCATGTGTTTATAGTTAAGTTTGAAACATAATTCAATTTTTGTTAAGTTAAAAATTTTTTTATGATAGGAAAATATTCCTTTAGTAATTAATTTGATTAAACAATTGGAAGATTATAATGAAGAATCTCTTCAAATGTATAGTATCAGCATGTTTTATGATTTATGGAAAACAGAGTCTAGATGTTATAGATTTTTACTGTATAGTTTATCAAAAGACAAGTCTGGGTGGCAATGGAACATTGTAAAGTCATTTACAGTTCAGAAATTAACTAAATCAAAGTAATTATACAAAATTATGTCCATTTATCAAATAAAATTTTCTTGTCTAATAATCTTTCTATTCTAGTCCTAATTCAGACTTGGTACCAATTCATAAACAAATGCTTACATTTTACATTAAAAATAAAATGTTTTTACCTTTACAATTGACATTAGAATCATTCATAGAACTTTGTTCAGCTGAGTATTTCAGTCCGGAGATTCTCTTAGGATTAATTGATAAAAATATAATTAACATTCATCATCCTTCTATCATTGCAAGGTTTATTAGTTGTATTTTATATTTTAAAATTTATATTAATTTTTATACCTAAACTTACAGTTACTGTGAATTATTAGCTGAGTGCTCCAACCAAACATTAGATAATGAAAAACGTTTAAATTATTTGGAAAAATTATGGTCATTAACACTACATTCAAATGTCAATACTGTAAAACACGCTTTGAAGTAAAAAAAAATACAAATAATAACAATAAATTTTCTTATTATTATCATAAGCTAATGCTATATTAAATCCAATTTCCAAAAAGAATCTTTTGCAAGATAATTAAATGATATTATATTGTTCATATTACATTATTAAATTTTTTTTTAGATCATTGTGTAAAATAGGCATTGAATATATGTCTCTAAAAGTTTTACCTAAACAATTTCATGATATCCAAGATATTGTAACACAACTTGAAGATTTAGAAAAGCTTGAGTTATTCAATGGGCCTATACCAGGTTTGAGATTCTCATATAAATTATAAATGTTATGTTTATTTAATTTGTGTAATAATAAATGGATTTTAGGAGAGTGTTGGGTCAAATTTCTTCAAAACATTAATGAAAAATGTATTGAAGAAGCAATATCTATGTTATCTATTTTACTAAGGCAAGAACTAAATAAAACAATTAGATCAAGAGTACCATCTGATTGTGAGTTATTTATTTTTATACAAAGAGTGTATCAAAAATAACTTAATAATTTTAATTTTTCAAAACTCAATTGAAAATAACTTAAATCAAAAAAATAATTTATATATATATATACTTTTATATTTTTGATTTTCTAGATGAACCTAAGTCATTAAAACATTTGCCTGAAAGCAGCATTGCTCGTGGATTAATCTCTTATGTTGTCCCAAGACGTAAAAAAATGTTTAATTCTGATGAAGTTGTAAAAAACTACTGCCTTTCTGTAATAAATAGAACTGATAAACCTATGTATGCATTTGATTGGTGTTTTTTGGAAACTTATATATCAGAAGGACCTCAAAATAAATTATGGAAGGAATCTATTATTTTAATTGTCAAGCAGTCTATTACATCTACTTCAGCATTTCGTCTTTTATACAAATGTTATCAATTTCATGAATATTTTAATGTAAGAGATTGATCTTTAGTATTAATATATTAAATTTGTACTTTATAATTTTTTTTTTCAGACTGATGAAAAGAAATTGTTACTTAATACTCTAGTTAAAGTTTCTAATATTATATATCATGAATTTCAAAAACAGTTTATAATAAATGTTATTAATGATGACAAAGAAACCAATAATATCCAGTCAGGTTAATGTCAGTTTAAATATTAACAAAAATAATAATATCATTATTAAAAATTAAGAAATAATTAAAATATAAGAAATATAATTCTTGGTTATAGTGTAAAATAGGCTCGTGAATTTAAAAATTTTTTTTTTTTTTAATGACTATCTTCTATTTCATTATATTTATTTAGAGTTGTTATGCTATTATTTGAACAATTGCAAACAAATTTTACAAAACACTGAAGTACATCAAGATAATAAAAACTTTATTTGTAACATTTTTGAAAATATATGGTGCACAATTCAGTTAAACAACAAGGTTTGGATATTAATGACTGCAATAAAACTATGTGTGATGATAATTATGCAATATAAATTATACTTTGTTTAAATATTTTCCAGAAAGTTCTTGAAGTGTTTCTAAGTTGTTGTCATATATTACCAATACAAATTGTAGAAAATATGAAACCATATCCTGTTCACAAAGACTTAGTTTCTAAATTTATTATTATGTGCTGTTCTCAAAATATCATTACAAGCAATGAATCTTTTGATTCGCTTGAACAATGTATTAGAGCATCTAATCAATTTTCTCAGTCAGTATTAATACATTTTTCTAATGTAATTATGAAAAAAATTATAATTTTTAAACATTATTTCAGAACTGAAAGTTTTATTTGCAATTTGATTGTGGAAATTTTTTGTCTAGAACACTTTGTAATATATCATAATGAATTTATAAATAATTTAATGATATATTTAGTTGGCTTTCTCAAAAAATCTCAAACTAAAGTTTGTATTTTCATTTAATTTCTATAAGACTTCATGTTTTGATATATTTTTCAAAATCCATACAAATTTTATCATTAAATTATATTTATTAATTGCCGTGAAAAATTAAAAAAAGAAAAGAAATTTATATTTATAAGCTCTAACTATAATAATAATTTAACTTAAATATATTTTTTCAATTTATTGTTTTAGGAATCACTAGATTTGATGTTTTCTATTTTTGTTAGTATAATAGTGTCGCTTTCAGATTTTAACTGCCTCAGCTCTACAAATGACTTCAAAAACAAATTAATCATTTTTCCTAGTGCATTAGTTTTATTCGCTAAAAAGTCTGCACAAGTAAGATAAATATTCATTACTATCAATTTATAAGTATTCTATATATGAATATTGATTTAGACTTCTAAAATTATTGAATGGTTGAAGACTATAAAAAATGTTCAAAATATACCAGACCTATATTCCAATTTATTTAAATGTTGTTTAGCAGCATTGAAGGATGATAAATATTTTAATAATTGGAAAAATGTTCAACTGTGTTTATTAAAGGTTTGTTTTAATTATTTGATTACTAGAGAACCTATTATCACTATTTATTTTGATAGTGTTTATTTCTTCATAACCATTAGGGTTCATAGATTGCCATCTCCAGAAATCTTTACCTTAAATTAAAAATAAACAAAAAAAAAAAAAGATTTTACATAATTTATCATTATTTTTTTTAATTTAACTTACATGCATCTTCTAATGTATATTTAGTTGACCAACCAAGTTTTGTTTTTGCTAAATCACAATTAGCATACATTGAAGCAATATCTCCTTGTCTACGTGGTTCTATAGTATATGGTATTTTGACTCCTGTTACTCTTTCAAAAGTCTTAATTAATTCTAAAACTGAAGTACCTTGCCCACTTCCTAAATTATAAACCTAGAGAAAAATTAAAAAAAAAAAATCTTATATATTATGGAAAACGTTAGTAAGATCAAAACACTAATTTTAATATGATTAACTATTAAAAACTCTGAAATTGAGAAAAAAAATGATAGCAAAATGGGGATCAAACCTAGATATCTCAATGGCTGTGTGAAAACTTTCCCACCAAGTTATCCGGCAGCCATACTTACTTCTCAACTACTAAATTTAAAATGGTTGATAATTTTGTTTATTTAATTTAAAAAAATTTATTTAATAATTTTATTAACTTAATGGGCTTGATACTAATTAAGTTTGAATTAAATAATAATATAATGTTATATATATATTCTAATTTTTTTTTAATACAAGAATTATATTTTTTTATTATATACAGGATAATCTTTTAATCATAAATAAATCTTGTATGTTCATGCACTAAAAAACGAGTAATTAAGCATGCAAATATGCACAAAAATTTGGCAAAATATGCAGTTAAATATAAATTAAATAGTTCAGAAAATAAGTATTAAGAAATTTCAAAAATATGAATTATACGCACTTAAATTAAATAATGAAAAAGTTCTATAATCTGCATTAAAAATCTAAAACAATGCACTTAAAATTTGTATGGTAAATTAAAATCATATACATTGTCTAGCACAAAATGAATTTACTGATTTAAAAAAAAATAATATGTACTATTAACTTAAATAAATTAACAAAATGCCAAATTTACTCATACGTCAAAAATATACATAAACTTGCAATATAGAACTTCACAATTGTATTACTATTATTATGTAAAGGATTTGTATCTCACTTGGCATGTTTTCCTATATAGCAAAAAAAAGATAATGCATGAACATATGAGCTTTGATCATAAACTTCTCAATTATTTGTAAAATAGAATGCTGACAAAAAATGTTTGGTTCTTTTTAGTTACATATATTATTTATTAGCTATTAATTGCCTTTTAACATCATCCCTTTTGTATGGGGGTACAAACTTGATTTTTTTTAAATGACAACATATATATCTAAGTAACTTATATGATGGTAAATGACCAATCAAACAATGACTAGTAAGAACTTTGACCCATTATTTAAGAAGTTATTACAACTAAAATACAGATTTTGAGAGAGGCACAGATTACATTATGAGATTAGATTTCTAGTACAAAAGTTGTTATTGACTGGTCATTTTTATAATTAGATAACATTTTCTATGACTATTTTGGAATTTCAAAATTTAAGACTTGATTATTTAATTCTTCATTATATTTATTTTATAATTTGTTAATTAAGGAAAAATTATGATTTTATCATTAGGTTGTTTATAATAAGATTTTGGTTTGATAAATTTATTTAATTTTAAACTTGTTGTTTTTAAATATTTCAGGATAAAATAATTATTTAGTATAAAAATAAATACTTGAATTTATATAGATTAAAAAGTTATCTTTGGGAGAATAGCACAAAAGTTGATTGAGGATTCTGTAAAACATAAGCATAATACCTTTAATTTTGAAACTCAATTGCAACTTTTTTAAATGATAACATTTAAATCTTATTTTTATTTATTGATGCATATCATTTTTAAAATATATATGCATATATATATATATATATGATCGAACGATCTAACTTAAAACTTCTACAATTTTTGATCCAATAATAATTTCAATGTAATTTTTTTTTTTTTTTCTGTAAAATGTACGTACTTCTAAGTTTGAATGTTGAGATAACAATTTTTTCAATGCTGCTACATGCCCATCAGCTAAATCCATAATATGTACATAATCTCGTATACCTACAAACACAATCTTATACAAATTAGTGTATACAGTTAATATATCAAATCTCCATTACCTGTGCCATCAGGTGTGTTATAGTCATCACCAAATATTGATAAAGTAGGTTTTTTCCCAAGAGCTACTTGAGCTAAGTAGGGCATAAGATTTGAAAAATTTTTTGTTGGATTCTCTCCTATCAAACCAGATGGATGTGCACCCACTGGATTAAAATACCTCAAGCTAATTATATTCCAACACTAAACATTTCATTCATTTATTTTAAGTTTATTATCAAAAATAGTCAACAAAAAAATTTTTTTTTAATTACCGAATTAGAGCTTGTACAATCTTTTAATATTTCTTCAATAAACAATTTAGTTCGTCCATATACATTTGTAACATTTCCAGTAGGATGAACCTCAGTTATAGGCAAAAACTTCGGATTCCCGTATACAGTACATGAACTTGAAAAAACTAAATGAAAACATTTATGAGTTGCCATAACTTCCAAAAGGTTCATTGCACCCACTAAATTGTTTTTATAGTACATTAGAGGTTGTTTCATAGATTCACCAACAGACTTCATTGCAGCAAAATGAATGACACAGTCAATTTGATGCTTAAAATAATTAGAATTTTATAATTAATGATATAATTTTAAATTCAATTTACCACTTTACCTTTTTAAATATGTTATCTAGTTGCTCTATATTAAGTAAACTGCATTTATAGAATACTATTTTCTTTCCAGTAATTTGACTGACTCTATCCAAACTGGCTGCTGAATCTTTATGTTCTACACTGTTGGCGAAATTATCAATTGCTACTACATCGTATCCAGCTTCTAAAAGTGACAAAACACAATGACTACCAATGTATCCAGCACCCCCAGTAACAAATATTGTTTTAATGTTAGTCATTATAAACGCTATATTATTTTTTATTAAGTTAATTATTTTGTAAATATATGTTGACACGTAAAACTAATGAAATGTGTTTATGTAAAAAATAAAAAGTATTCTAGTAATAACTGTATTTGTTTTATATGCGTGGATTGTACAAAATTTTATGACAACAGCAATAATATTATTTTATATTTTAGGATTATGCTACGAAGTTATTTTAAATGTCTGTAGCGACTTCAACGATGTGTATAGAAACGAATCACTATAAGTCCTTGGCCTTGCACGAGACTGTTTAAGAATAGTGAGGATTAAAGATATTTGCCTGACGATTACTGTAGTTGTAATGTAATGTATTGTGTAGTGCAATTTATTTCGGGGGAGGGAGTGAAAACGTCATACCTAATTATTTATGTCGTCCTGTATTCCAAACAGGTTTTGCTACTTTATTTGATTACTACTGGAATCACAATGGACGTTATCGATTTCTTAGAGTTAGTATAATTATTTTGCAATACTTCTAATAATTCATATGTAATAAATCAACATGGAACGTTTTTTATTATTAATCCATTATTTTTTACACCGATTGCGAATTTGTAAAAATAAAATGTCGGTAAAAAATATTTAAAAAGTTATAGTACTTTAAAGTTTGCATATAATGCTATTATCAGGTCATGAACACTCCATTAATATTCTTCCGAATGTAGTTTTTGTCTACAATTTATAAAGGGAAAGTGCTCAAATTGAGAGTACCTTTAATTAAAATTGTTAATTTGAAAACACGGAAATTTCTAACACATCTTTCTTACGATTTAATTCAATATTTCTGTGTTCTAATTTGCATTTTTCAAACAAATATTAGTTAGAGAAAATTTTGTGGTCACCTACACCTACCGGGTTCGGTAGGCTTTTGTTTTCTTCTTTTTAAAGAAAATTGATTAAAATAAGTATTTTTCAAATTTTTATTAAATGATCAATATATTAAACCAAGATCCTTAGCTTTGTATCAAAACTAAAAATGGTTTAATTTATATAATAATATTATATTATAATTTTTCAAACACACAAAAATTATAAAACCCTAAAAATCTCAATGTCCCGATTGGGTTGCTCTACAGACAAATCTGGCACTGTTCACAATGGTTATATGAAATAGTGATAGGTAGATCGTCCCCTCTTCGAAGTTGCTTTTTTAAAAGTTTATGCAGAGTTTTGTTGATTATGATAGAATTAACATAATTATGTTAAAATATATGTATTAAAATACATCTTTAATATATCTGTGGACTAAAATATATGAGTATTTTTTTAAATAAAAAGTTCTATATTTAGATATAAGTCACCTTCTTTTTAGTTATTATTGCTCCTGGTTAAAAAATTGGTTAAACCGCTGTTGACTATTGATAACCTCTTATATTAAGCCGCATTTGTTGCTGTGGACTCTCGGATTGATGATTACGTCCCAACTGCAAAAGACGATGGAACAACAAACTACTATAGTTATTTTCCAGTGTATACATCAGACTAAACTTTGATTTAAAATGGTGTGAAACTAGCCATCTGGTAAATAACCAAAATCGAAAAAAAAAATGAAATAAATATAACAGCAAAATAAAGTAAACAAAAAAAATGAAAGATTTGTTCAAGGAACCATAAAATTTGGAAAATTATCAAATTCTCGTGAATTCTTTATTTATTCATCACGAATCTTCGTGAAACTTCATAAGGAGCGTTTCCAATGCAATAAAGATTGTCAGCTACTGTAACTAATCGTGTTATATTTTTTCATCAAAGGTCTATTCAATAGACTCTATTGTTAGCAGACGCTGACTTATCAGCCTCTTAATACTTAAAGGCGGGACTGAGAGAATGAGTGTTTATCGTCGTGGACCGTATGTGTCACAAGTCAAACTCGTCTCCAATCAAGTGGATCATACGTCAATAGTTTATCGTCGTCCAATCAACTTGTCCATGCTTTTATCGTAACTCAAAAATAAAATTAAAGATAAAAAGATTGCGAGTAATATTACAACCACGATAAGTTAATAAGACTTTATTAAACGAGAAATAACGGCGATTGCATAAGTTTACCGTATATATAGGTAAAAATCCTCTAGTCACATGGCAACGTACTAGTTAAAATCGTAGATACTTCACGTTCAATTTTATTTTCAACTAGTATATTTAATTGTTTTACATTCGGCCACTATACTTTTTATACTTCAACCCAGCATATTTTATTATCGGCCAGTATATTTTATTTCTTTACTTTATACAAAATTATTAAAATTACGTTTTCATGACAATTAAAAATATAATAAAATGAAATAACAAATTTTATACTCTATAATTGCATTATTTATTAAAATAAATAATAAATTTATTTAAGCATCAATTATAATTATTAAAATATATTCGTAACTATTATACTTAATGAACTAATGATTAAAGTGAGAATTAATTACATTATTTTTGTTCTAGGAACGTAATAGTGATTATGTTACAGTTATAACAGGTTGTTCGAAAAACCCCGGGACTGACGCATATATGGCGACTTTAATAACTTATCCTTATGTTTTTAGTTAGTCAATCTTCAAAAGAAATTACGCATTCCTAGTTAGTCTTCGAAGTAAACCTTTTTTTTGATAACAATGGATAAAAACGAATTTCATATGTTGATTAAACACTGCTATTTGATGGAAAAAACACTGTGAACCCTAGAAATGGCCTGAAAATGTTATAAGGACTCTGCCCTGTTGAAAACAACTATTTGTTGTTGGTTTTCTGAATTTAAACGCGGTCATAAAGAACGCTCCTGATGCTCAAGTGAGACAATTACGCCAGAAAACATAAAAAAATCGTAAAGTGAAAATGCTAAGATAGCTGATATTGTAGAGATCTCAGTTGACATGTGCATCATATTTTATATGAACGTTTGGGTATGAGAAAGCTATGTGTCGAAATGAGGCCCCGTTTGCTAACAGTGGACTAAAAACAACGTGTCGTAGATTCACAGAGGCGTATTTTAAGGGTAAAAATAAATCGTTATATTTGAAAGCATAGAAATGTTAGAACGTTGCTGGAATGATTGTATCACTCTAAAAGGAAACTATGTTGATGAATAAAGTCAAATTTTGAGAAAAAAATGTGTTTATTTGTTAGTCCGGGGACTTTTCTAACAACCTGTTAATACAGTAATTAAATTGAGTAATTTAGGATTACGTACTGAAATAATTTAGTATCGTCAAATGGACACACTTAGAGCAGTTTCTTTATAGATTTCATCACTTCATTTTTTATTTTTCATTATACTTGTAAACATTTTACTAGTGCTATAGATTGATATAGTTATAATGATAATAGATATTTAACTGCCCCAAGTTGGACCGTTTTATGATATGTTCTACTCATTCCTATATTATTATAACTTACATCTTATAATGGATTATAAATTATTAAATTTAAAATCTGATAGAAAGACTAGGAACTATTAGAGTATTTTTAAAATTTATTTCGGCACTTACAAGATAACGCCCAACTCCATGAAACATTATCATGGGTATAAACAGTATCACAGGAATATTTTTCTTTTGGTGGGATAATGGTCCTCATAACTAAATTCCAAGTTAGTATTTATTATCTAATATTATGAATAACAAACACGAATAAGTACTTGTTCATAAATGTACTTAGGGCGACTAATAAACTTCGTGAGGTTGGAGTCTTGTTAATAAATCACAAAAATGTGATTTTAAGATTTTTTATAATTTGTATAAATAATTTTCATTGACATGTGCCAAAATATTATTAGTCAATTTTATTGGTTATTAAAATTAGTTTTTTGCACATAAATATTATCGATTTCTATTAGGTACTATAGACATTTTAAAATTGTTTTTGTTCTAAAAAAATACTAAAATTGATTTTTCAGCTTATAGAAATTAACCATAGAATAAACTTTACACAATGATATATAAATACATGCATTTACAATATAATACTTTCAAACTCCTCCATTACGTCTTATGTTTCCTGCAAATGCTGACACTTTGTTAATTTTTAAAGTTCTTTAAATTCTATTACAGTTAAAATGTTTATGTAAATCTATTATTAGTTATTTGTAAAATACTACATAATTATATCAAAATTTGAGTATAGCCATGTTAATTTGTATAAAATAAAATGTTATTTTTAATGAATTATACAAGGGTGTAACCAGAGTTAAAATAATCTCATAGTGAAAATATTCATACTATAAGGATATATTTTTAAAACAATTAGTGGGGTAGTGAACACTATTACTATGTTTAGATCTTCATGAATAAAATTAGAACACTCTTCTGAGAAAAATAATTTAATACTTTCTTAATAGATTGATTACTCAACTAAAAGAAATAAAAATAATTATTGGCCCTATTTTAAATTTCAAAAAAATCCCACAAATTTTTTTTACAAATAATTAAAAATTTATAGTCAGTATTAGATTGATACAATTTTTGAAAAATCATTATTAAAAAAAAAAAGTTAGGGGTAGAATATTTATGTCTCATTATAATATATGCTTATCTATTTTCTATTGTAGTTTACTTTAAAAGGTTCCATTTTAACCCACAATAATATGGGAGGAAGTAACAATCATATGCCCTCAAAATTACGTGTTTAAAATTGTTGTTACTATATTTTTCAGTCAAATTAAGTGTATTTGTAACAAAATATTGAAAAATTGAAAATTCAGCTTACAATTTATAATTGTCATAAAATTATTACATCGGTATTTATTTAAAAAGACATTAATTAAATTTTTTCTGGGAAAAAATTGTAGAATTAAAATAAATGAATTTAGTTGATAAAAAATGTTGGAAAAGAACTTATAACTTATATATATTTTAAGTCACTTCACAAATAAAGGAAATTAAACATTTAAGACCACACCACAAATTATAATTATTCTGTAAGCAACTAAAATTCTCTTCGATGGTATTTATCAGGATCCATAAATGATGTAACTACCACTCTATTATTAAATTTTCGCCCAGCTAAAGCTTGCTGTGCTTTTTGGCATTCAGTTGTAGCATTAAACTCAATAAATACCTATGAATTTAAACAAAGTGTTCAAGTTATTACATTTTAAACAAATAAAACAATTTGATTTACTTTTCCGCATCCAGGAACATCAATTCCTTCTATGGGCCTTGGAATTTCTAATGATCGTACTACACCATATTTATTACATTCTTCTCTAATATCCTCTAAAATATCTTCATATTCTTCTTCATCTTTCAATTCATCAGGTGTTACCATATTCAACAAACATAAAACCTGAAAAAATTTAATTAATAAAATTTAATGTAAATATAATTAATTGAATTTTTTTTTTTACTTCAGTAGGTGGGCCAGCAGTTCCAACCACTGTTAATCCTGGAACTTGAATTGTAACAGGGGCTTGTATAAGACCAGGATTTTTGGCTCCTATACTAGCTCTCTGTACTATTAATTTTTTTTCGCCTAATTGCATTCCGTTTAGACCAGCAATTGCCTATTATTTAATAAAATACAATTATAGTTTAAAAAAGTACTAGTTGTTAAATCACACAATAAAACTATTAAGTGAATCAGTAGTAGATTTATGGGGATCCAGACCACCTGGATTCCTCCCAGACACTCATAATTTGATAAGGTAAGACTGATACATATTCTAAGTGAATTTAATTCTTTAGAACCTGTACTCAGAACAATTTTGAAAATTCGATACTGAAATATATGAAATAAATTGAAAATTTAATAATTTATTTATTTCATAAAAATGTCTTAAAGAAGACATAATATATTTATAGTTGCTTTGTTATTTTTATCTTATTGGTTTATAATACCAAGTAGTGCTGTATCATTAAATACAAATTAACAATAAAATGTTATCATTTTTTACTATTATATGATATTTATGAACAAGAGGAAATATTTCTGTAAATTTCAATGTCAGATATTAATTCCTCAAAAAATGCCATTTTTCTGGATATTAAGTACATTTTATGATTTTATAATAAGCTTTTTAGTTAGTATGCAATAAAAGTTACCTGATCAGTCATTATAACATCAGCGTATTCACAAAAGGCATAACCTTTACTAAGACCTGTAGCAGCATCTTTTACCAGATTGAAAGCTTTTAGCTGACCAAATGATGTCAATAATTCTTTAACCTATTTAAAAAAATTTCAAGCATAAAATATCTGATATTACTAATTAATTGACTCAATTGCTAACAAAATGTTTTATTCCTTGCTAAATATACAATAAAATTTAATAAAAAAGCAATAGGTAATTTTAAAAAATGCATTTTTTAAAATTCATTTTTCAATTTGTCCCTGTAAGATCTGTATAATTAAGTTAGTAAACAAACTAACTTAATTTATCAATTTAATAAAAAAAAAATTATTGCTAAAATGTTTTGAATGAACAATAAATTCATAAAGTGGATAAAAGAAAATAATTTAGAAGACAATTTTTTTTAAATTATTATTAATTAGTTTAATCACAAACACTAATTATTAATTTTACTAACAAGTATTTTAAACTAAAATGTTTTACCTGATCGTCATTAAGATATGCAGGAAGGCCACCAATAAATATTTTATGGGGTGAATCTACAAATTAAAATACAAAAATTCAATCCATTCAATCCATTAAAAAATATTTTAGGTGATTTTTTTAAATAAAATGTGCATACCTGGAACTGTTCCAATACCAAATGAACTGGAGTCATACTTCACTAAAATTATTAAAAAATACAGATTAATAACACATTATAATTTAAAGAAAATACTCAAATGTATGTTAAATTGATAAAACTATTTTCGTTATATTGTAAATTTTTTAAGTAACATGTGTAAATAATGAAATAACAATTTGTATGATTAACCTTTATAATATCAAGTATTGAAGTACTATAATCTATTTCTAAATAAATAATTATATTTATATATTTTTGATGAAATATTAATCTTGATAATATTTAAGTTGTTCTATTTATATTATTTATTACGCTTGAGTATAACATTTTTATTAACTTATTTAATTGATAATAATTTATAAAATTATTTAAAGCTACTAGAAATATAAATTTAAAACTTCCCACAGTTCCATAATAATATTATTATTATATTGTGTTTTATCATAAAATTCTCTTATCTCTAAAACTAAAACACACACTCTCTCAATACTCCTAAAATTTAATTCCAAATATACAAAAAAGAATTTTAGTTATTTAGCAACAATTCAACTCAAATTTTCCAATAATATATCTATGAATTGTCCTTAAAAAATATGCTTTAAAATAAGAACATTTTTATAAATATATATAACTTTGATTCATACTCATATCTAAAGTCATTCCAGAGCTAACAGGATTACTTTCTGTTATGCCAGGCATTGGTTGATAATCATGTGGACGTCGGATTTTTAAACTCTGGCCTTTAAAGTTTATACCATCAAAGGCCATTGCCTGAGTAGTTTCATCAATAGACCTAAACTAATAAATATATTGAATCACAAAAATGATCAAGTTTACAATTTTTATGAGTAACTTTAGTACAATAATACCTCCAAGAATGCAAAGTTTTTATCTAAATTGATTTGGCATGCCAGTACAGGATTACCAGCAGCTTGAGCTAAACCAGAGAGATGCATTTGTTGATTGAAAAACTCCATCATTTCATCCTACAATTATTAATAAAAAATAAATTATGTTCAAGATGGATTTGTATTTGAAATAAAAATAATTTACTTCAGTTACTCCAAATGGTATATTTCCAACATATAAACGCCTTGCTTGTCTTGTAATTGTTGACCCAACAACAGGTACCGCTGTTTGAGGAGTGTCTGGCATTGTATTTGCTGGTATTTGTCCAGCAGCTAGGAACAAATGTAAATTAATAAAAATTTTTTAATATAATTGTTTATTTTTTAATCAGATAAGTTCCAAAATAATAATGTACTAAAAGTTATCTTAATGTTATTTGATACATTAAAAATTTACAATTTAATTGAACATATTATTGAACAATCTTATTATTGCTCTATGCCTCAGTCATTAATTACAATATTCATTTTTACTTAAATGTACTTGCAGTAACTAAATAATAATTTAATTTGCTTGAAACTCAAATAACTTAGAAAATTTTCAAAAATAAACAATTGTATTAAAGATTGAATAAATATTTATTTTAAGCTAAGATGATTTTTAAAGATACCAGAGAGTATTAGTACAAAACTAACAATAAATTCAAAATAATTAATTAATTAAATACCAAAATTCAACTGATACAGTTACAACACAAAAGTAGTTAATCCATTTAATCAAAGAATTTATCGGTCAAAATAAGAACTAAAATGTAAAAAAAAAAAATTAGAATATGTAAAAAACGGATTACTTATTAAATTTATAATATAACTGACCTTGCATTGCTTTGTATTGAAGAGGAGCTATGTGCTCAAAACCAGGAGGTGGAACATCCCAATATAAGGAAGGTTTCCTACGTTTAGATTTTGCTTTGGGTGACTTAGATCGACTACGTTTACGTCCATCACGACTTCTAGAGCGATGTCTTCTATGGCGATCACGATCTTTAGATCTTGAACGTCGACGTCTATCACTTCTATCTCTATCACGTTCTCCTCTGTCCCGATCACGTTCCCTTTCTAAAAATTAATTTTTAATAACAAAAGTTAATACTTTTAATTAACTTACCATCTTTAATATTAACTGTAACTTAAATAAAAATACAATTTTGTGTAAATTTTAATAATTATTTTAGAAAAAAATATTTAATAAAACAAATTTAAAAATATAAATACCTTTATCTTCGCCCATGGCGTTAGTATAATATAAAAAAACTTTGTTATTATAACGTTTTTAAATGAAATTACGTACCATTAAAACACTTGCACTATAATACTTTACAGTAATATTAACAATTTATTAATCACAACTTTTTAAAACAATCAATTAATATTAAAAGTAAAATATATTATTCGCCATTAAATTAAATTTTATATAACTATTTTGTATTAGGCCCGTACTAATAAGAGTTGATAAACTGCCGCAATATTTAATATCATAGGCCGCGCAGAATACTGACGCTACTGTAATCAGTGATCTCTAACAGATATTTATTTCTTAAAAAAAGTAAACACATTTTTTTTACTACACTTCATTATACTATAATATACCACAAGTATATTTTAAAATTATAAACTATTTTTGATATATTTTCATTAAGTAAAAATATTCTGAATTTTTTCTTTAACTTATAAGTTGTCAATAATTTGATAAAATATAATAATAATTAGACTGGTCACATTGATTTAACATATGTGATTAAAATTATAATGATAACCTTTATATGATAAATAATTTGTTTCTTTTATCAGTTAATAAATGGTACGTTTTCAAAAGAATATTACATTTATTTAATCTGTTTAGTTCCAATTTTCAATATTTAGGTTAATTCATAAATTTACAATGTTGAGTGTTTTAAAAAAATTTTACAGTAGCAATACGCCGGTCCCTAGTGGACCAGCATCAGAAACTGGAGGTACATTACCCATTGATTTAGAAGGTCGTCATCGGCAAGTAAGGCAACGTTTAACTAACATGACTGATGAAGAAAGAGCTTTTCGCAGAAAATTTCTTCATTCTCAACACTTAAGTCCAGATGAACCTAGGGTAGTACCGGAAATGTATGAGGAATTATATAATCCTATTAGACGACTTTTCAGAGCACCAATGAATGCATTTCAAGCTACATTGGAACCTAAATTAGTAAGTGTATCCTTTATGTAACTATGTTCTAAATAATTATTCATTTTATGTTTACTCTGCTTTTACTAAAATATTATGTCTGTTTAACACTCAATTCTACAAAGACATAAACAAAATTTTTAAAAAAAATTTTAATTGGAAGAAATGTTTCTTTGATCTATTGCAAAAGTAAATGATTCAAATACTTATAAAAGCAACTATCTGTTTAAGATTATAATATATAAGTGAATATATATCATATATTTTTGCAAAATTTTGATGATTTTTATGATTGGTAAAAGAAGTCAAATTGAAATGTATATTTTCAGGAAACTAAAAACAGAATATTTATACCTGATAATTTCAAACTCCAATCACACTACAAAAAATTAATTAACTTGTTATTGAAACATTATTTATATCACTAAGTACAGTAAAAATTTAAAAATAAAATTTACAAATAACAAAATTTTACTTAAGAAAGACTTTTAAAAAACCTGGTTATTTCTTATAACTTATTAGTTGTACTTTAAAACTTCTTTTTTATGTTTAGGGAGAACGAACAGCTTTCAACGTACGGTTCATGACTGGAAAACTATTAATGGGAATAGCTGTTGCTTATAGTATTACATATTATTTCATGTACAATACTAACGTAAGTTATATTATATATTATTGTTATTATAGTAGTTATTTTGTAGAACATCTTAATATTAACTTTTTTGTTTAACTGATAAAAATTTTACCCCTTCTGAGATTTTTTTATTATCTAAAAACTATATTGTTTCGTATTTTGCTAATTCTTAAAAGTTTGGAAATTTTTATTCGTTTTTACTTTGTCCGACTCTTCTTTTGATAGTATTATATTCATATGACTTATTGAAGTTTATATGAGTACATATCAAAATTAACTTATAATTATTAAATAATATATAAGCTTGTATAAATTTGTAGATATTAAAATATTTTGGTAATGAAAACAATTTATCATAAAAAATCAAAAATAGTACTTTTTGTCCTTATGGCAAAGGTATAATTAGATTATACATAGTATAATATATTTTTATATTCATATTTAAAATCTAGATTTTACTTTTATATAGATGAAAAAAATGGTAAATTTTAAGCATTTAATAAAATAATATTTTCTTACTAATATTATTTATTTTAAAATACTCCTTGTAACAAACTGTATTCTTTTTTAGACTTGGGAAAGAAAGTCAGGTTGGCGAGTGCACTCTTCTCGTATTGAGTCTGCACCAGGTGATCCTGATTTTCCAAGAGTCTCTGACCGCACATTGCCCAAACATTATGCTGACAGAAACTTTAGTAACTCACCTATTTAATATAGTCGTTGATACATTATATATATATATATTTTTTTTTTGTTAATTCATTGAGTTAATATAATTTGTAGATTAAAATGTATTAAAAAATAAAATTTTACTGTCGAAGTTTGCAGCAAAAATATCTGTTTATTAGTTCATTTTAGTTTCAATTTTGAATGATTTTGTTATTAAAATAATTAAAAAAAAAAATCAATAAAATTACAATTATGTTTGCTAAAGTATAAAATTTTCTGAATTCTAAAATTTGATTTTTATTTATTTATTTTACAAACAAGATGTCAATATCAGTGAGCATTGGTCAACAACTAGTGTTACATTTTAAATATAATATGCATGAATATGTAGCATAGTCAGAGTATGCATTATAAATATATGCATGTACAACCTGTACACTTTTCCCACCATATACCTGTAATCCTACAGATAGATCACTATTTCCTATCAAAAACGGTGATCTGTTACACTTCGCAAAGTAAGTTCTACTTCATAATCAGTATACCAAAAATATAGTAAAAATTTATTATTAATGTGAGTAAAATTCAAAAAGAGTAAGTAACAAAAAGTATTGGGTATAAGATTGAAATTTGTATCACTGAGATCTTCATAATAATTCAGTAATATTACAATTTTCTTTATTATAAAAATTACTAACAAAAACATGTTGCAATTAAATTAGACAATTTTTTATTTAAATATTCAGTAGTGTTCGTTCGCAGGCAGTGCTCATTCACTGGTGATGCTACCTTATGTTGTTTTTTCTATAATGTCCATTTACTTCTAACGATTCTAGAATGAAAAATATTTAATTCATTGTTAATTATTTTCAATAATTTATTGTTTTATTGGTCAAATGTTGACTAATTTCCTTAGAACTTAAGCATTGACTTCATGGCAAAATAAGTGACCAAAATAATAATGTGCAACAATCAGTGGATTAAAACACGTATATACCTGCAATTCATATATCCTACGAATTGCAGACAATCTCATAAAGAGAAAATATATGAGATAAAACATATAACATGTACATCAATCTTTAGTTTTTTATTAAAAAAAAAAATAGAAACTAAAACAAACAATAAAATAACAACACAACTTTTTTTTTCCTATCCAAAAATGCGTAGTAATTTAAAATTCTTTTAATTTGATAATTTAAGTTGTAGTAAGAAATTAATATTTAACATATTTTCATATAAATTTTGAATATCAAAACTAGGTATTTTCATTCAGATCCGGATTAAGAGGGACGAGCAAGAGAGACTATATCCTCCGAGAAATTAAGGCTTATAAAAAAAAGAACTTAGTCTTATATTTCACCTAAGTGATAAAATAAATTTAAAAAGTTCAAAGTTATATTACTATAAATTTTTTTAATTACCTAGAGTTTATGTTTTTATTTATTATATTTTACTATAATAAGCAACTATTATAATAATTGCTTTTACTATGATGTATTTTTGTTTTGTCTTCTTTTAAAAAAATTTTAAGCACTCACTTGATCGATTTTGTTGATCTATGAGTAAAAAAAATCCTAAGTTAATGATATTGTTGTTGTAGTCTCTGAAAATTGAAAAAAAAACGTTAGTTAATATACAATAGGAAAAACAATAAAAAGAATAAAATAATAATATCTAGGAAAAAAAATTGTTTCAATGAGAAAATTATTATTATTTTTTTTTACTTTTTAAAATTTTCATAAATTATATCAATTACATAAAAGAAATTTATCACTTGTGGCTAATTAGTTAAATAAAATTAAAATGTTTAATATTTTTTAGTTTTTAAATTAATAATATTTTTAATAAAGTTTTAATTTTATTTATATCAATTATACTAGAGATAATCACCTTTTTTATAATTTTTTTTTTTGAATCTAAGAACAAAGTGGATTTGAGCGCAGCAATATACACATACCAAATTTTTTTAGTTATTAAAATTATTCCATATAGTTTGGCAACGTTCAACTTATACCAATTTAAAGATTTTAAGTGAACTATAATATTAAAAAAACTGTATTGATAATTTTTTTATGTGAAATGGCTGTTAAAGTTTAAAAAAAACACTATTATTTTTTTTTTCATTTAAATGATGTTTGAGAACTTCTAACATATCAAAACCTACATGAAATTAAAGTTTTTTTTAATTTTCATTATAATTAATAAAAGAAAAATTTTCTGATAATTGACTTACTATGCAGAGTGAAATATTTAAAAAAGTACATTGTTACATTTGTACAGGTTCTCTCAAAAAACAAATATTAATTGCATACATTTATAATTATTGAAGATAAGTAAATTTGGAAGATTAATAAAACGTTTTTTAACACCATTAAGAGTTATTAACCACTGATACTGCGGGACGGGTGGTTAGTCCGTCGGCGGAGAAAATGTTTTTTTTTAACTTGTATTTATTGCAAGCTTTAATTTGACATATATTTAGAGTTCGGAGTATTTCCGAACATTTTCAAAAATTAAGTGGAAAAAGTTTTACTTTTTATACGTATGTTTCAAGTTTTGAACGTCCCCTGTATAAGGGAAATTGTCCAATTAAAATAAAAAGTATGTCAAATGAAATAAGTATATAAAATGTATTAAAAAAAAAATTTGTGTTGATACATACATTTTTCGAAAAGTTATAGCAATTTAAAGTTGAAAATTTTAACACAAAAATAGCATTCTTTTAACTACGACAAACGTTTGCACGAAGAAGGTAAGTTGTTAGGACAATTTTTTTTTTTAATTTATAATACATAACATTATCTTTAATTTGATATCTATTTAAAGCTCGAAGTATTTCTGGAACATTTTCAAAAATTAAGTTAAAAAAGTTGCTATTTTAAATCTCCCCTGTAAGCAGGTTAAGTGTTAGATTTTCAAAAAAAAATGATATCAAATAAAAGGGAAATATCTAAGGTTTCAATATAGAAAAAATTATTTTGATTTTTTCATTTTTAAAAAAGTTATAGTAGTTTTAAGTAAAAATTGTTAAAAATTACTGATTTTTAAAATTGTAATTTTTTTTTTAGATTTCTCTCATTTACAGGAAACGAGGGAAATTTTTTCAACTTTTAAGGGTAATGTCTTCAACTAGATACGATTTGTGATCTTTTGACGTATCATTGAAAGAAATCGGTCCAGTGAGAGCTGAGAAAAAATGGCAACAGATACAAAAAAAAACACATCTTGGTAAGTTTAATACCTTTTCAGCTTTGTATCGAAGCTAAAAATAGATTGATATTAGTTGATTGTAATGATATACATAGTACATCATTAATATTAAAATTAATTATTTGTAATATAAACAATACATCATTAATGTCATAATGTATTATTTAAGACTTCAATCAATCAATCACACAAAATGAAATGTATACCAATAAAAATAAGATATACAGAGTGGCCCACCACTCACTGACAACTTAAATAACTTTTGATCCAGTTAATATTTTTATACTGCCCACCATCAATGCCTTGAGCCCCTGGCCCTAACAAAAATAATGATTTCTACAGTGTTATTGATAATTGCTATAAACATTAGCTGCTAATAACTAAAAATTAATGATAAGCATTATGCTACGAGCTGTTTTTACGAAATAGCAATAGCTGCTATTTTAAAATAGCAATAGCATTAGGAAATGTTAAAAAAAAAATAGCAGTTTACCATCACTAAAACAGCATAACTCAAAAAATGTCGATTTTGAGTTGGCACCACTGCTGAAATCGCGGGATAAATATCTACTATTTGCGCTCATCTGTTTCCCTCTATCTTATTTCATAGATTAAATACACATAGATAGACCACGCCGTACACAATTTTGGCAGTCCAATTTTTATCATGAATGGACGCAGGGAAACGATGCGCTGGACGCAGGCGATTATGCTGATAGATGGCGTAAATTTTGAGTGCTTCTATTGGTTGAAATATACGTGGTATTTTAAATCTTTAATAATTATTAAATGAATGTATGATGCACATAATTAAACTGTTATTGTTATGCACGTTAATTGCATTTTATGACATAATGTAAGGTTATTTATGATTTTAACTCTTTGTAATTATTTTTCATTGAAATTTTATTTAATTTTTTATTTTAATACTATACTAAGAATCCTTAACAGGACTTTGATATAAAATGTGGTATTACAGTACAAGACTAAACTGTTGGTCTCTAAATATTTTTATAAATTATTTTAAACAGAAAGCAGTGGCAGATAAATTACTTTGTAATTAGGATGAGTTGAAAAATCTTTATGATAAAAATCATCATGTGAGCTGTGCCCCAATATCACAAAGCTTTTATATTATACTTATTTTGTATTTGTATTACTATGTCAAGATATATAATAATCACATCTAATAGTCCACAATAATAAAATATATTAATATATAAATAATAACATAAATACATAAAATAACCTATTTTGAAATCATGTATTATAAATTCTAAACATTCAGAAATTATGAAAAATATAAAATTTTAAAATTTGTTAAAATAAGATATCTGATACTTTGCTTTTAATTTAATTTTTACTTAAAATTATGTTTCTAATCTAATTAATTTAACAAGCCAGTAATACGATACTCAAACATGATTTTGCATGTTTATACATTTTTTTTTTAAATAATAAGCACTATTTTTGTATCTAGCTTTTCTGAAAGGTGTAATTTCATTTTATTCATAAACATAACTTTATAATTTTTTACGAATACATTTATTATGTATCATTTTTTCCACTTAACATAGCATATAGTTAAGATATCATAATGACTCAAATAAGTATTAACTTATTGGTTCATTCTTTTTTGTAGGTATTGAGTAAATTCTATACTAGTGCCTTTTTAAAAAATATCGTTAATAAATATTTCTGACATGGTAAAAATAATTCAGATTATTTAATCTTTTATATAACTCTTTTTTTGAACAATTAATTTATAATTTTTATGAAAATAAAAAAAGAGTATAAAACAAATCAAAAAAATATTTATTAACAGACAAAACATAATATATATATATTCCTTTATAAAATTTAGAATTCTAGACGAGTTCCATGGACTATTTGACTTTTCAATGCTACCTTGCTTTAAAAGATTTTTTAATTGTTTATCAACTTCCTCGTTATGACACATAGGGTATTAATTGTTTTATATTAATTGGATGAGCATTAGGAGTAATTATTTTATGTACAATTTGATTAGTATAAGATAATTTATCATCGGATAAAATTAATATATCATTAAATTGATTGTATAGATTATTAATAGACGACTTTTCTTTGCCGTTTAAATGATTTAATTTAAGGTTTTGATTTAAAAGAGTTAATCTATTATTATTATTATTAGCATTAACATTATTACAATTGATAGTATTTACATATTATTTATGAGCACGAAATCTTGTTGTAAGAAATCAAATTTAATATTATTTATAGAAATCGAAACATATTTTTCTGATGTGTTTAAAATCGGTATGATTGCATAATTATCTTTGATTTATGTTATACAACTTCCAATAAAAACATTTTCTTAATTACTATAAGATCATATATATAGCTAGAGATATAATTCCAGTTGTATAATTAGTATGGGTCCTTTTTACTTTAATGATAGATTCTGACAAGCCTAATTTCATGAATTTATGTGACCCTACAAATTTAACACGATGAAAAATAAAATTTAACATTTTTTGAGAGATCGTAAAACAATTGTACTATAGACCACGTAAAAGAGTACGATTTAATAATACGATATCTCGGCGCCAGGATTATATTTGGAATTGCATTAAAAACAGGATGTATTAGCTATGTTTACATCTTATTGTAACACGAATTATCATGCCTATTTTGTATTTTTGTGTTGTTTTTAAAACCTATGAATGTAAAAATATCCAACTAGATAAAAAATCTTCCCTATTTCATAATCACTATTCATATTTTCACTTGAGTACTGAAGACTAAGGTCCCTTTTGCGTGGTTTTACCATTTAATATATGTATTTATATTATTATCTGTATAATTATAATTATAACAATGAGTACACAACGAGGAAATAAGTGTATTTTTTTAATTGCGGTAAAAACATATCTTAACTTCTTATTTTATCATTTTTAGTTATCTGAACTTCGGTTAAAATTGCTTTATTTGTTTGAATATTTTTTTCTAAAATATTTGTTTTTAAAATTTTTATATTTTAAACTATATTTTATATTTTAATTTATATATTATTAAAATTTGTTTTTTTTTAATATTTCATTGTATATTTGAAAAAATAAATTACTAATTTTATACATGAAATCCTTATAATATGTGTAATTATTAATAAATATCTTTATTAGACTTGATTACTGGTAAGTTAAGAAATTAAACACCAAATAATATAAAAATCTTGACAGTGGACAAATCGGTAGCGAGAAATTGTTATGTAATAAGTTAAGATTTTCAACA